CCATTAATCCTCTCTCATCAAACTGTCACCAATTGATTTTTTTTTATCAGTTTATTCAAAGTTATATTATTCGTCTTATTCAATTAGGAAGTAGGAAGCAAGGAAGCACACTGATCTAGCCGTTCATTTGTATGACAAATTTTAGACATTGAACTAGGGGTGGTCATTCTTAGCCTAGCCAACAAATTTTCAGGCTTGGGCATTTTGTGCCTGGGCTGGGCCAGGGACGGGCCTAAAAACTTGTGGGTCGATCCTGGGCCCAATATTTCAGGGTCTGTCCCAGAATTATATAATATATACATTTTATGGATTTGACTATGATAATGAAAGATATGATGGTGGGAAAACTTGTAACCAGTGGACCAATATCGTAAATGTGATAACTAATCATTTGGTATTTATCAAAATTCATGTGGGAGGGGTTTGATTGGTCAAAGCCCTTCTCGTATGTTGATATCGTATCTTTCTGGTAGCATTGATTTTTCTATATTTTATATAATAATTGTAGCACAAAAGCCCATCCGATACCTAAGGCTGGCCTGGGCCTATATTTGAGGCCCATACTGTGGGCCTAGGCCTGGCCCATGATCACACCTAAGTAGGACTAACAATTCAAATGTTGAGATGCAACAAAAGAAAAATTAAGCCCCGTTTGGTTTGTCGGAATAGGGGTTTGGAATCAGAATTGGAATGGGCTATTCTGATTCTAATTATTTGGTTGGGTGGAATTAGAATCCCATTTCCATTCCTGCTGGAATGGCATTCCCCCATTTGAGGGAATGGTCATTCCCTGCCCCTCCCTTGAGAATGAAATCTCATTCCTGCTGATTCCCATTTCTATTTCCATTTCCTGTCTGAACCAAACAGACTATGAAAATGGACAATTCTGACTTCAATTCTAAAGGATTTCGATTCCGATTCTGATTCTGATTCTGACTGTAAACCAAACAGACCTTTATGTTTTGCGCCCTGCACCCCAATCCAATGCAATACCCTAAGTGGGATTTATACCATTGAATGCCATGCAAGTTTGTACATATACTGCTATTTCTTTCTTTCTATCAAATTTTAATACCATAGAGAAACCTGCACAGAGACACAAAAAGCAAAGAGAAATGTTTTAAAACCTATAAAATGATCTCCATTGCAAGATATAAAATCATCATCATCATCTAAGCCATATCCCAATTATAGGGGTCAGTTACATGCATCCTATTTAGCCTTTCTGTCCATCATTAAATTATAGGTGTTTAATTTATTTGTTATTGGTTTAACCCAAATCCCTTTTGTGGGCTCTTCTAGAACCTTCAACTTGTCACTTTTCCTAATATGCACTCTATATGGTCTTCTATGCATGTGACCGAATCATTTCGATCTATATATATATATACATGCAATTGACAATTACGATTCAAATGAAAAATGACATAGACAACAGTTCCAACTAGATAAGGCAGTTTTTGTTTGCCATTCTACCAGCCAAGTCACCTTGACCTTCCATTGTTGGTCTAGAAGTTCTATTGTATCATAGAATAAGTTGGATGTTCTTCAATTGGAACATTTTCTTATTGAAATAAACAGAATTTATCTCTATAGCTGGAAAGGATTTATAAAACAACAAAATTAAGTAGGAAAAGAAAAACCCAACTAAGACTTACTTATAGCTTGACTTGTCTTAGGATCATTAAATGAAAACAAATGAATTATGAAAGATCTGGAACAGTAACAAGAATAAGTTGATCAGTAATCCTAATGTCATGAAAGCAATCAATTTTGTAAAAATAAATCCAGTAAATACCCAGTAATTTGCTTGTGAAGAAAGGAACCACATGACAAAAGGAGACAAAAGGAATGCATTTCATATATAATCTTATATTAAGTAAACTAGACAACTTTGGTTTCAATAGCAAGGGAACACTTAAATTCAACATGTAGTAATTCATTTGTGATTGGTTCTGTTGTTTCAGTCTCCACATGAATCATTGACAATGAGTCCTGCTTAGGTAATCTATTAGATCACTTTGATTCTCATCTGCTAAATAATTGCTCAAAACATAATAAAAAAATGAGAGGTAATCTCAGTTAAGAGGTTGGGTATACTTGGCTATTCCCCTTAAACTGCTGCAGATTTTGCTTAAAATAAATAATAAAAAAAAAGAAAATGGTTGTGAGCTCAGGCAAAAAACCATTATATATTAATTGGAACACCCACAGTTTCTATCTCTTTCTTTCTTTCTTTTCATTCTCTATGGGCTCAGTGTAAATGACTTAATTGGATGTTAGAATCCCACCAATTTGAAATAAAACTATTCTTTGGCCAGCCTTATTTACTTAAATGATCTTGGTCCTGAAAGTGAGCCAATGACTTTGTGTTTGACTACACAACTACTGCCCAACAGTGGTAGCTTATACATCTTCTCATTACTATATATATTTGAACAGTGCTTTCTAGATAATGGCTTTATAATCTATCTCTACATTATTTTAATTAACTGATACTAAAGATTAACTATAATGAGTTATGGGTAAGTACATGATTTGAAAACAAGTGCAGAATATATCTGGTTTATATTCTAAAGGATTTTAAAACTAGAAAAGAATATTATAACAACCTTTGTAAATTTAAAAAAAAGCTGAATATAGAGATGCTTTGAGTTGAATTTCTGAATGGTGTATGTATGTAATAGAGAGTCACATGGTAGGATTTTTTAATTGATTCTCTTAATCATAAAAATATTCAAACCCAACCCAAGTCCAACTTAACTTCCAACAATTAAACTTAATTTGAATTCCGATGTTGCCTATGAAGTAGGTGCATTGGCTTCACACAAAATGCACCCTAACACCTCACACATACACCCAATTGTGCATTGGGAATATCTCCCACCTCCTGTATTTGTCATAAGGAGATGTTTGGGGCATGTGATGCAAATTTTATTAAGACGGTGTTTGGTTTYGTTTACATTTATTAAGTAAACATTTTGTACTTGTGTGACTGTAAAATCGAGAAAAACAATTAATGTGGGCATTTATGATACATAGGCACATCAACAAAGTGCCAATAAATGCTTATCTGTTTGGGGAAGCTCCAAAATGAAGCTTACTAAAACGGAAGAGGCACACAAAAATCAAAGTTTGCTTTTACAAACATCAATACATACAAATGCAATTAATAAACCATTTGCTGATGAGACGCCTATGTGGCACCATTTACTCAATAAAGATAAACGTAACCAAATATATACCAAGTCATTGACAGAGCAGACCCAAAAAATTTACATGTGATAATTGGGCATTCTATGACCRGGTTCATCTTTTTTCTCTTCTTTTCATTTCTTTATTTATTAAAGGGTGGGGTTAAGGAGGGTTCTAGAACTTTGGGTTGGACACATAAACATGGTTGCCATTTGGAACCTCAAACTCCCATGGACTGTATGTCGGGAAGAACAGGGCCCTCCTAAGAAATGGACATACCAAAAATCACAAAAATCACTATGATCAAACAAGTCTTTTACAATCTATTTTTATGGATTTTTAGAATACCCAAACAAACATTTTACAATGACCTAGGTTGGTTGTTCAACGGAAAAAATAAAAACAAACAAACGAACAACTTTTTGGTTGGAAGTTGAAAAGGCCATCATTATTCAATTTTGGTTTCAACCAACTGAGGTCTTGGTCTTGCCGTCTTGGGATGAGAGTGGACTGAACATGGACCACAGACCACCAATCTAAATAGCCTTTCAATGAAAAAGCTTCAAATCAAAATCTTGTTAATTCTTTACCTGCTCATTTGCTCATTTGTGTTTGGAAGTGAATGAGTCTTTTTATTTTCGGTGGAAACTGAATTTCAAATAGGAAAAGACAAACACTACAAACAAACTGAGACAAGCATGAAAAACAGAAGAAGAAAGAAAACAACTACAACAAAGGAAAACCAGAAAAGACCTACAAACGATTACAGAAAGCTAAGTCCAAATTAACTATATTAGAGAGACACAAGGGGCTAGTAAAACTAGATTCAAAATCCTTTGAAAAACCATATCTAGCTGTTGTATGCACTGTTTGGTTTGCTTCCCTCGGACAGAATTGAACTGTGAAGTTTCTTCTAGATGTAACTTCTTTTATATCCCTGCACCAGAAGAGAATTTTCAGGTCTTCACAGCCATTAGCTTCGTTTAAACAATCAACTAAAACTTTGCAATCGGATTCAAAAATGAGATCTGATTTGTTCATTTTATCTGCAAAAACCACCGCCTTTAGGAGAACTTGAGCTTCTGATTTCAAAGGAGACAAATCTTTTGATTTCCCAAAACCCACACCCCAGCAGCACCCCAAATGATCTCTGATAATGAAGTCAAAAGAAGCCTGTCTTGAAGATTTCAAAAAACCACCGTCGATATTAACCTTCAGAATGCCTTGTTCTAGTGGAATCCAAGAAAACATCTTCTTTTTCTGGCTAATCTTGTAAGTTAATGACAGACCTGCATAAGTACAACTGTGCAAATAATGCCTTGCACGAAACCTAAGGCAAAAAAGTGCAAAAGCAAAAGCTCTATTACTAGTGTTTAAAGGCCTAAGGCATTTGCCTTTTGAACAAAGGGGTACAAACCCAACCTAGAGCAGATATCAAAGTTCTTTAAAATTGCTTTGGTTGTTTGCGGTGTAAAACTCCATTGATGGAGTTCAACACTGATAGTTTAAAATTCGTGAGCAGTTGTATTTTGAAAAACGTGATTATTGATATAGTATTTATAAGACTGGTCTCTTGAATCATTTAAATAGAGAAGTTACAAGAGGATAACTATGTACAAAAGATAATAATTACAGAGTTAGAATTTATCTAGGAAATTACATGATAATGACATAAGGTGATCAGTTATCTAGGATAACTATCCTAAATAACCATGATCAGTTATCTAGGATAGCTATCAGAGATACCCATCCCAGTTATAAGTAAACTTTTGAGATACTCTAACATCCCCCTGCAAGCTTAGCGGTCACTTGGAGACAGTAAGCTTGGTTGTAAGGTCATGAAACCGTGTTGAAGACAACAGTTTAGTAAGAATATCTGCAATCTGATCATGGCTGGGAATGTGATTGATCAGTAGAATGTTGGYCACAACTTTTTCCTGTATAAAATGAACATCCAATTCTATGTGCTTGGTGCGAGAATGGTGGACAGGATTGAAGGAGAGAAACTTGGCACTCAAATTGTCGCACCAGATGACAGGTGAGTGAGGGAGCTTCAATCCAAGCTCCATGAGTAACATCTGGAGCCAAAGAATTTCAGTGGTAGTAGAGGCAAGATTACGGTATTCTGATTCTGTGCTGGAGCGAGAAACTATGGAATGTTTACAAGAGATCCATGAAATAAGATTACGACCCAGGTAAACACAGAAACCACCTTGAGAGCGATGATCAACAGGGCAACTAGCCCAGTCAGCATTAGAAAAGGGTTCAAGAGCCAATTCCAGAGAAGCACGAAAAGTAATGACATGATCAATTGTGGACTTGAGATAACGAATGATCCACTTGACTACACTCCAATGAACATTAGTGGGTTCGTTCATAAACTGACAAACTTTGTTAACTGAGAAGCTGATGTCTGGCCAAGTAAGGGTAACATATTGCAGTGCCCCCACCACACTGCGATATTCGGTGGCATCTGGAAGAGGAGAACCATTGCTCACATCAAGTCTGGTAGATGTCGCCATCAGTGTATGAACAGGTTTAGCCTCATGCAACTTGGTCCTGACGAGAAGATCATGAATATATCTACGTTAGGATAGGTGCACTCCATCTGAACTATGATGTAGTTCCAAACCCAAAAAGTAACAAGCTTCCCCAAGATCTCGAAGAGCAAAGGTGGTAGAGAACTGAGAGATGAGCTGAGTAAGTGCAGAAGTAGAAGAGCCAGTGATCAATAAGCCATCCACATATACAAGAAGAAAAATGACATCAGTGCCATTCCACCGCATGAATAAAGAACTATTTGCTTGGGATTCCAGAAAACCAAGGTGAACCAAATGATCCCTTAATCGAGTAAATCAGGCCCGCGGGGCTTGTTTCAAACCATAAAGGGAACGTTGAAGACGACATACAAAATGCAGTCATGCTGGACCTGCGAAACCCATAGGTTGTTCCATAAATACTTCTTCCCTGAGATAGCCATGAAAAAAGGCATTGCTCACATCAAGTTGTCTAAGATTCCAGCCATAGTGAACTACGAGAGATATTATTAACCAAATAGTGGTTGGTTTAACCACCGGACTAAAAGTCTCAATAAAGTCAATACCGGCTTGTTGAGTAAACCCTTGCGCCACCAATAGTGCCTTGTATCTTTCACTGGACCCATCCGGACGTCTCTTAATCTTATAAACCCATTTATTTCCCACAATGTTCTTATGAAAAGGTGGAGGTACAAGATCCCAAGTATTATTGCGCAACAGCGTTTTGTATTCATCTTCCATGGCGAGTACCCAACGGGGATCTTTCTTGGCAATAGTGTAGCAAGAAGGTTCAACATCGGGGTCAACAGAGGCTTTCAAAGCGTACCAAGGGTTTGGCTTGCGAATGCCACTCTTGCTCTGTGTCATCATGGGGTGAGCAATAAGTGGGTCACAGTGGAGCAAGAGGGCGTATCTGATGGGGTTGGTGATGATGGTAGCAATTCGGTAGAACTAACACCAGTAGATATAATAGGTGGGCTAGGGGAGGTGGAGTTGTGGGGTACAGGAATGGTCTGAGGAGAGGTGCATGAGTATGTAACGATAGGAGGGCCAACCATAGTGTCAGTAGCCGCCGATTTGGGAAGTAGAGTTGGGCTGCTAGAAGTGCATGGGAAGGTATGTTCATAAAAAAACACATTACGGGAAATATRTAGACGTCTAGATGTTAAGTCCARACATTTGTACCCTTTGTGATGTAAACTGTAACCCAGAAATAAACAACGCTTGGATCGATAGTCCARCTTAGAATGGTTATAGGGTCTGAGATGCGGATAGCAAGCACATCTGAAAATGCGCAACATAGTGTAATCAGGTTTAGTGCCAAAGAGATACTCTGAGGGAAAATTCATGTCCAGTATTGGAGAAGAGAGCCGGTTAATTAAAAAAAACTGTAGTCTCAAAAGCATTATACCAGTAATGTTTGGGCATTGAAGTCGTAGCCAGGAGGGTGAGACCCATTTCAACAATATAGTGATGGCGTCGTTCTACAACCCCATTTTGTTCATGAATATGAGGACATGAGAGATGATGAGTGATGCCTGAATCAGAGAGAATAGGGAGAAGTGGTTTGTATTCTATACCTCCATCTGTTTGCAAAGTTTTGATAGAGGTGTTCAATAAATTCTTCACATTCTTCTTAAAAACAGCAAAAATAGAGACAACCTGAGTTTTAGAGGTCATAGGAAAAATCCATATATACTTGCTGTAAGCATCAACAAAAGTCAAATAATAGCGAAATCCATGTCTTGTAGAGACAAGGGCTGGTCCCCAAACATCAGAAAATAAAAGTTCTAATTGATACTTTGCAACAAAAGTACTACTAAAAAACGGCAAGGTATGACTCTTGCCTAGTGGACAAGATGGACAAAAAGAGATGTCCTTATTTGAAATTAGAAGCTGAAATGAAGATAAGATGTTGGCAGCTCCTCACTTGCTGGGATGTCCTAGCCACTGTTGCCATACAGAAAACGATGCTTTCTCACCAATGAACGCCGATGGAGCTGTAGATGTGTAATTTGTCTTTAGCTGATAGAGCCCTCCCTTAATCGGCCCTTGGAGGAGAATTTCCTGGTCGCTTTGTCCTTAACAGAGAAGCCAGTAGTGTCAAAAATAAAAGTTGCATTATTATCCTTACAAAACTAGTTGACAGAGAGCAAGTTCTTAGATATATTAGGAACTCTAAGAATATTTTTCAAGACAATGGACCCAGAATCAATATTCAGAATATAAGAGCCAATATGAGAAATGTCTAGACCCGTACCATTGAYGACCAGGATATGATCTGTTCTATGATACTCATCATGAAGAGGGAGATTCTCAAGACCTGAAGTCATATGATTGGTTGCTCTAGAATTAGGATACCAATTTTCATCATGAGCAGATCGTGAAGATAAGGCTGTATGAGTTTGCTTGGTAGGCTTATTGGCAGTGAGTTCCAAATAACGGTGGCAAGTAGCTACAGATTGTGAAGAGTGATTGCGATTGAAGGTTTTCTTCTTATTGGCCAAATTAGTAGAAGGAGAATCCAATATAGATTGTGAAGAGTGACACTCTAAGCGCTTTTCAAAGGTAAGTAATAGACTTTGAATTTCAGTAAAAGAAAGACTATCTAGTCTAGTAGTCACAAATAGCACAAATGTATCATATTTAACAGGTAAACCACCAAGAAGATAATGAATTTGATCAACATCAATGAGAAAGTGTCCAGAAGCAACTAAAACATTAGATAAACTTTTAATTTTCTGAACATAATCAGTGATAGTAAGATTACCCTTCTTCAGATAAGCTAATTCTAATTTCAAATCATGGATTCGAGTTTTACTGGTAGATGAAAAGAGAACATGAAGTCGATCCCATACCTCTCTGGATGTCTTACAGCCAACTACTTGAGCCAGAAATGGCTCTGTTAAACGATGCCCTCTGAGAGCTGGTGTAGTTTGAGAGCTCCAAAGCAGGAAGTTAGTACGACCCAGTTTTATTGAGACTACATTCATAAAACTAGAAAGAGAGACCACTATAATGGTTCGACCATCTGTCAATCCAGGCTGCATTTGTCTTTGGATGGCATGAGTAGTAGTGCTTGTTTTTGAAGCCATGACGTTTGTTAAAATGGCTCTGATACCATATAAGAGCAATGCTAAAAAATACAATGAGAATGGAATGACTCAGTCARTGATGACTRGTCTCTTGAATCATTTAAATAGAAAAGTTACAAGAGGATCACTATGTACAGAAGATAACAATTATAGAGTTAGAGTTTATCTAGGAAATTACATGATAATGAGATAAGGTGATCAGTTATCTAGGATAGCCATCAGAGATACCCATCCTAGTTACAAGTTTATCATAACTATTGAGATACTCTAACAGTATTATATTGATTTTATTGATATAGTATTTACATCAATATGTAAAACTCTATTGTAAGTGGAGTTTTATGTTGATTTATGATRTAAAACTACATTCTATTCAAATACCAATAAATGCGAATCGGGAATGTAATTTTACACCGATCTTTATTTACACCGCAAACAAACACCAACAAATGTAGATCAAGAGTGGAGTTTTACATTGGTCTGCATTTACATCGCAAACAAACGCAGCCTTTGCTAAACAATATTTACTCATAATTTTATTTTAGAAATAAAAAGGCAGAAGTGTTTAAAGATTATGCTATTGTATTGCAAACTCATAAAATATGCTTTTAATTTTATTCATTCCAAGTACTTCTTATTACTTTTCAAAGTAGAAAGCTACTTTCCAATATAAAAGAGAGGAATCYACTCACACTAGTATGCAAGAATGCTCATCTAATTCTAAAATTAGATATCCAAGTCCAAAAATGCTCCCAAGGCCTCTTTTGTTTGCGGGGCAATTTTAGTGGCATTGGTGTAACTATTGTGGGCAAATGAGTGCAATGCAAATTCCAGTTTGCTTTTGCTTATTTGCATTGCAGATGAAGTAGACTGAAAAAAAAAAGAAACACAAACCAAAGTAAATTCAAAATTGAAGATAGGCTTGAATTTGCATTTATATGTATTTGTACTAATGCAAATGAAATTGCACTGCAAACAAAATGGAACAAATGCTAATGTCATAACTAGGGGTGCAAATGGATCGGATCATAATTAGATCCAAATTCAAATCTGATCTTATTTTGTCAGATTCGGATATCACTCTATTGAATTTTGGATCAGATTGGATTTTTAATTTGTAAATTTTTATATTATTTTTTTATAAAAAAACAAAATATATATATATATGATGAAAATAGTTAGAAAAAATACTTGTTTTTTGTTTTTCTTTATATAAACTATTATATTTCCTTTTAATATAATTTATTAATTTTTTCAGAAATTAAATTGGATCAGATTCAGATATTCAATATCCTTAATGGATTTGGATTCAAATCAACATTTATGAGACCCAATTGGATCTTTAATCTTTATATCTGATCAAATTTAAAATTTGTATTACCRGGTCGAATTAGGATACACCCTGATTTGAATCCGATCCAATCCATTTACAACCCTAGTCATAACATRAAAACATGCAAATCAAACAGTGCAATTGATATCTGATGATATATAATGRTTTTGATAAAATGGAAATTACCTAAAAACAGAATTAAACAACACAATTGATTGTCCCACATCTAAATTTTACTTCTAAAACAGTTTCATTATTATTGCAAGACAGTATATAATTACCCAACAGAGAAAATACCTTTTGATACACTTCATGGCATTAGCAGTATTTCAGGGCAAAGGAAACACACCATTTTTGTGTTTGTGAGGTGCCGTCTCAATCCAAAAACAGTATTTTTCTGAGCTAAGCATGGTATTACAAATTACAATTCTTCTGTTATGCGTTAATTCTGTTTTTCTTTTTCCGTTCCAATTCATACATCCAACTTGAGCTTTTCAATCTGAATATAAATACTTTTTACACAAATGCTAATACAAAATCAAATTTGACTTGGTGGGTTAGAAAAGTTAGATATTTTAGTAATCCTTACTCCTTAAGATTTCTCATTTTAATTTGGATAGGTTTACTTAATTAGGGGGGTAAATTGTTGAAGCCTCCTCTAAAGTTTCTGGCTGTTGTTGAAACCTCTTCTAAAGTTTGGTAATTGCAATCACCTTTCCTGAATTTTCTGACATGSTTGCWAGTAGGCCCYTTCTGGTAGAATTTTTTAAAAATGCATAAATTGTCCAAAATACCCATGCAGTTACTTTTATGTTTATTTTCTAAATTTTCTCTTCATATGAATCACTACCCCAAACCCATTCAATCACTTTTCTGAAATTGATTTATTTTCTAAATTTGCCCTTCATATCAATCACTCAAAGGTTAAGCTGCAACTTCAAATTCTCTTTGTTTTTGTTGTTCATAAAGTTTGTATTATTATTTTTTCCATAAAAATCAGCCCCAATAATAATTATATGGGTATTTTGGATATTTTCATGCCCTTTTTAGAAGATTCTACCAAAGTACTTGATTAAAAAATTTAGAAAAGGTGATCGCAATTACTAAACTTTAAAGGAGATTTCAGCAATTTACCCTAATTAGGCCAAAAGAGGATTTCCTCGTTTAATTTTAGGTTTTGAGGTGGAGCAAAKTAAGCTTGATCTCAACCGGGTTCGGGTAAGCTGAAAAGAACTCAAMATAATGGATGGCTTTGCGGGTCGGATCCAAACAAAGGAAAGTGATTTATATTGATCTTGTATGAGAAGGTGCACGAATTGTGAAAATATCTAGCTAATCAAATGATCCGATGGGCTTCTTTTGTTTTGATATACATTCGGGTTATCAGGAGAAAAGCAACTTATCAAAATGATGAGACTGMTTGGTGTTTGAGTCTGTGGATGTTTACATGGGGCCGATCTATTTAAGGCCCTGTTTGGCTGTGACGCTGGAATCATGTAGTGTCACTTTTTTTTTTATTCTGAGAACCATAAATGGACTTTTCTGAATCGACAAATGGGTGCCTTTTCCTAATGACCCATGGTTCTCTTGCTTTCAGTTCATTTGAYACAGTAAAGCCTTTCGGAATTGAAAGGAAAAAGAAAGTGAATTGATGGAGAAACATCCTGAGTGTTGAGATTCACGTATGACCAGTTAAAGAGAATCGCACGTTGGAAAGGAATGAGATGGGTTTTGTTAAATAAAACAGAAATAGAAGAGAAACCCTCTAATGTTTCATATGTTTTTAGGATAAATATTAACTTTTATTAATAAGTGTCCCTAGATAAAAAACATTGGAAATCAGGAAGAAAAATGTTATATACCTTAATGAATCCAATCAAATAGGATTATGGTTTGAAGAATTTTAATCGCTATGATACTGATGTGACATATAAGTGGGCACACAGTGTAATAATACCAAACACACCCCTAGATTAACTATTTAGATAGAGGATCAATTCATTTCTTTTGTTAACTTTATACCCCGTAGTCAATGTTGTAGCTATAACAGAAGAATTGAGACCCACCACTTGAATGAGTATCGGAAAAGAGTTTTATAGAGCAAAGATTCTTAGAGCTCTTAATGTTAAACTTAGTATTAATTAAGAAATGTATGGATCACACTTCTTYGTCTATGTAACTTCATTCATTTTTTGAGAGATAAGGCTGGTTTGAATCCCATGAGATGAATACAAAGACGGTTGGTTGTCAATTTGACTCTCATAATTGATAAAGATAAATGTGTTATCACCTAAAACATGTAATTGAAGGCAAGATGAGAAAATCACTTGACAAATCCAACCACCTCCACTTTTATTGTTTGCAGTGAATTCAACTTCTGAAAGCTATCCCTCAGAAAGAATTAATGGTCCTTTGGCCTTAGGATTGCAATTTGGGCAGGCTGGGATTGAGCATTTCTTACATTTTGGAGAGGCCCAAGCCCTGGATGCAGTAGAAACTGTTCAAATCAGGCAACCCATTTGCACCCCTATTAGTTGAATAGTTTTCCTCCCTTATGCTGTGTTTGGTTTGATAGAAAGTAAAAGAAAAACAGAAAATTGAGGGAAATTTCTAGAGRACTTTCCCTCCAAAAACAGGCTTAAGGCCCTTAAAAGAAGGGTATTGTCCAATCATCAAGTATTTGGCTACCTGAAGATTTTCTTTCTATGTTGTTCCCACACATAATTTCCAAGTTTGCTTAGAATTTCTTATTTGATTTCAACCCAGCAGTCAAGAGGCCAAAGCCATCTTATGTAAACAATAATGCACCAAAAYCCCTTGTGCCCATTGAGCTGGGTCCACATATACTCCTTATCCATAGAGCTGGGTCCCCTGGGGCCACAGCCTAAGTCGTATGGACTACCCACTTAACCAACTCTCTTCCTTTCAAAGTCAAGCTCCAGACTGCCATCCGGCCATCAAGCAAGATGAGAGAGATCACAAAAGCTAAAGCCCAAATTAAGTAGACATCTTTACAACTTGGTGGTTTAAATAAATACAATTCATATGACGCTTGGACATTTTTTTATGTACACCCAAACACAAGGAGCTCACCCTCTCAGATAAGAGATTAGCCCCAGAAGGACCAGACAACCAAAAAATAAGGGTAAAACAAAACAAACAATTTGAATTTTCAAACCATCTTCACCTCCTACTTCCGTCCGTGTACTTCTCTTATTTGRTCTCTGTTCCCACTCCCCCATAACCCCGGTATTCCCAGGGGCTCACTCAAATAAATAAAAATGAAGAAAACAAACACATACCCAATCACTGGACCCTAATCTGTGATCAACTGATCATCACTCCCACTCTCTGTCCCCCTCTCAAAGCTCTCTTTCTTTACCTTTCCATGTCCGTGGAGGTTGTTAATCCCTTGTTTATGTGAATAAAACTCTTGGAGTTGGACCCATCTGGGTTGCTCTTCTGCTGCGACTCCAGGTCGTCATCATCATCATCTTCTTCTTCTTCCATCTTCCCGAGTGAAAAATACTCCACCTTCTCGCCGTAAATCTTAACCAAAGCTAGATAAAAGAAAACACCAAAAGCGGCAGCCGCGGCCAAGAACCAGCTGAACTGGAGGTTAACCAGCGCCTTGGCTCGGTGTTGGGCGTGATCGCCCTGGCACCTCACAACGAAGTGCCCATCTTCATCGTTCATGAAACATCCTTTTGGTATCAAGGCCGGGGTCCAGAGCACAAACCCCATGACAATAAACCAGACACCTTGGAAGAAAATACTGAGGGACCGAACGAAGCTCACCAGTAAGCTCTTTTGGAGGTTAATTCCCATGAGGGTGGTGATGAGAGACACGAGAACCACAATCTGCAGAAGCAGGTGGTATTGGCCTTCCATACCCATGTGGTCGGCGGAGTGGAGGTGGAAGAGGAGAAGCTGCTGGGCGAAGGCGAGTGCTGCCAGCAATTGGGTGATGCCGTAGTGGGCTTTCGGTCGAATCCGATCGAAGAGGATCGCGAAGGCTGCGTACATGAGGAAGCACAGAGATATGGAAGCGTGCTCGAAGTTGTGGAGGTGGTTGGAGGGGATGCTTCCATCTGGGTCGAACGGTTGGTGCCTGTCCGGGCCGATGAAGAGTTCCATGGCTATGGAGGCGCAGCTCCCTCCCATGATTAAGTAGAGCTCTAAATACCTCATTCTCGAGGTGGGGAACCAGGGGCTGGATGAGTAGTTGTTGGGGTGGAGAGCATGGAGCTTGATGTGGTTGAAGAGGTGCCACAATCCAATGACAAGGAAGCCAAAGCCCGGTGCTACATGTCCGACCAAAGTGCCCATGTGTTCCTTCTGCCTCTTTTTGCTTTCGTCTCTTCTGGCTTCCTGTCTGTGTCCTTGGAGGGAGAGAGAGAGAGAGAGAGAAGGGCTGAGGTGGGTTGCCTAGGAATTTGAAGTAATGAGGTTGAGAGACAAGGAAAGGGAAGGGGGAAGGAGAGGGGGTTTTAAAGGGACGAGGTTGGGGGGCAGAGTCTTCTTGGGTGGTGTCTAGAGGCTTCTACTGGAGGGGTTTGAAGTTTGAAGTTTTGAAGTGAAATCAAGTGGTGGCTTGAAGAACAAGGATGATATTACCTCATTCCCACGGTTGACCAATGACCTCTAGAATTCACCCTTCTGTAGTTTGGACATACAATTCCATTCTTATTGACGAAAATACCCTTCATGTCAAACTTTTTGTTTTTGACATGCACTCTTCATGTCAAAACGATGCCCTGAAACAACGCATGACCAGATAGGCTGTCGTTCGGGCTATATAACCAATAATGAAACTCCACGTCAGTCAACCATTCAACCTTTCATAACATACATAGAGCCCTCAACCATTTGGGGGAAACATTAAAAAGAATTGGGTGTTGGGAAACAAAAGCTTCCAATTTACTTGATAAAAAATCCAACCAGAATACCAGATTGCGTTTCATGGAAAACGCGTGTGGCAATAAGTTGATGTCATTTTTGAGAAGTAACTTTTTATTGCATTTAAGTCCTGTTTGTTTTTATCATCTTTAAGAAGTTATTTATCATTGGTGTGGGACGTTATCATAAACTCCATAGTCTGTTATTTAATTAATGCATAGTCCTGTTTGTTTTTTAAGAAGTTATTTACCTAGGTAAATGTTATTCATGTTCTTTTATTTCTTAGATAAACAAATCAATAACCATTTTACATATAAAAAGTCTTTATTAAGTGAGGCAATTTGTCCCCTCCAATCAATGATTCATTTGGGGTTAAATCATCCCCAACAAGATTGTCCCTCACAATGTCTCATAACACATTTCTACCATGTATTCGAAACATCTCTCGATGATGAATAGTACATTCCTACTGTGTATTGAAAACATCATCATTTCTGATATTATCATCCGGAGATATTCCCAATATATGACGGGAATATACTGTGGAATATTGTGGGGGACAATCTTTTGGGGACTGATTTGATCTCCTATTTTCAAACCAAGCGGTATCTCATAACTTCAACAATCAGTTGGATGGTTTGGCTTCCACATCCTTCCTACCACAATTGAGGTTGATGTTTGAAACAACCAACTCTTTTTGTTAGTTTACCAACCAATTTTTTGTAGCAGTTTGGATTTTCTCACTCTACTCACATCTGCATCGGAGATTAATTTAGGAAATGCAAAAGGGTTGGGCCTCTGTTATCACAAGTCACCACCAAACCAACATGAAATAGAAAAAAAAAAAAAAATTGAATATTCATTTCTTTGTATTACATATTGCACAATATAGGGGGATTATAGAGTGGAGATACTAGATAGAGCTGGGTACATGTGAGGTCCCACTAAACTTGCTATAGAGAGCCTGCAGTTATATGGGTCAGATCTGGCACCACCATATTCAGGGGATACCTAGTGACCATTTTCATCTTCTTAACAAAAATAACTAATGTTCTCTATGCTATTTGTATGTTAGAGTATTTTTAACCCACCGTTGACTTGTTTAATTAACCATTTGAACAGTTACCTGACCTTGATTTTGGGTTTGGTTCTGTTAAAACCTATCATTCAGTAAAAAAATGTTGATTTTGTCAAAAATTATATGATTCGAGCGAATCAACCATTAACCCCTTTGATAACATAATTGCATACTATTTATTGATAAAATATATATTTGCACACATCAATATATATTTAGATATATATATATATATATATATATATATATATATATATAAAAAATGCTGACATTGAAAGGTCTGACACATTTGGATTAGTTTTTAAAACATTGGTATGCTATTGCTAACTGACGATCCATGGCTCCTATGCTCGTAAAATGGCCTTCTTTTTTAACACAGTTTTTTTTTTTTTTTTCCCCTAGCTTACGCATAGGCAATGGGCCTGATAATAATATGATGTGTCTCATACATCAATATGTCTCTTGTCATAATATCTTTATTTGATGATAACAGTACAATTAGAAATAAATAGAATAAGATACACACAAGGTCACTAACCTTAATATGGAGAGACTACAATTATAAGGATTTCATCCTGCACTCCCGTATTCAAAGGGACACCTCATGACCATTTCTCATGTGGTTCACAAATATAATCAGTGTTCTCTATGCTACTTTTAACAACTATTCATTTCTCAATAGCTAGAAAAATGGCATTGTTTTTTTATTGAAAAAGTATGGATAAGTCCAATGTAGATTTCTGATTTTCACTGCAGAGTTATAAATATTCAAAATGTCAATAATTTACATTCTATGCATTAACTTTCTCCTGTGAATTGGCATCAATTTCGAACTGACATCTATCCCAACAGTACTTTGAGTCTATAAATTCTAACCCTAGGCTGAACCGTCATCCTCCCTTTTCTTATAACATACATATTTCTTGCTTTCACAACGAAAACATGATATGATAGTTATACGATGGATCCCCATTCCAGTCATAATGTCTCTATTTGATGATGACCATACGATTAGAATTAAATAGTGAAAAGGATATGTACACGTGAACCATCCAATGAATGCTAAGTGTACAAGTCGGGTTAATCCCATTTAACAATTTATACTATTTCAAACTCCAGTTCGGGTTGAATCTATTGAATTTTTTACAAAATTCAAACCTTAACCCACAAAAGTTGCATCCCAAATGCTCATATATATCATAYMWTGGTGTAAATAAAAAATTAATACATAATTTGGAAGAAATATAAATACAAATATATACTATACAAATACATATAAAATAATACAAAATATAAAGTTTTACGCTCTATATATTTATATTTGTACTCCTTCGTCTAACCATCATTAGTCAATTCAATGGTCAATAGGGTGGGGCATGTTTTGAGACGTGATGAACCAAGAAAAGTACAAAATGCTTATCCACAGAATATAAGGATAGTTTGGTAATTAAACAACACCCGGCCAGGCGGAGGCGGCCATCCTCGTTCCTCTCCCGGACACGACGGCTGTTTTAATCCAGTTTTAAATCAACACACGGAGCTGACTCCCAGAATTTCTTAATTTTTTTTTTTTCTGCCGAAGTCTTTTCAGTGTTGTCCATTTGAAGGGGGAAGGAAGGAATAAGCTTCTCCAATAAATCTCCATCCACGGGCTATGGCTTTGGTGTGACTGTGTGAATTTGAAGTGTCATGTCGTCAATTCCTCCTTCCCTACCTATTCATTTATTACGGGCCTCATTCCCAACGGTCTCGCTGTTTGGGTCGAGAATTCTAAAGCGACCCATCCACCAAAATACTAAGTTCCCAATTTCCCATTTAAGGGTTGATATTAATCGGGTTTGGACCTACTCCATATTTAATCATCATATGTGGAAACCCAACCTCGGAAAATTGGATTATTAACAAAGGTTAGGAGTATAAATACAAATATGTGAAATGCAAATACATAAAATATAATATAAAATACAAGGTTTTGTATTGTATATATTTGCATTTGTACTCTATTCAAATTGAGCAAAAAATAAATAAATAAAAAAGCGTAAATTGTGGCAAATTAGTCCAAGCCCAACCTCAAAAAATTGGATTATATACAAAAGAACCCAAAAATTGATGCAATTTGTGGCAGTTTAGCCCAAACCCAATCTAAAAAAAAAAAACTGGATTATTACAAGGCAAATCCTATTGTGTGGAGAAAACTGAAGACTTTGGCCGTTTGTTTATAAATTTGTCACTTGCGTAGTTAAATGTTTTCTGGGTAATTATTATCCGTGTAAATTTACTTATCCATACTCTTTTGACTTCCAGGAAAGTGTTATAATAATTTTTTTTACCCATAAAAAATCAATRTTAATATGGACAAATTTGTTTTATTATGTTTTATACAATTTTTCCTGGTGGAAAAGTTATTTACCCATTCCGGAGATGAATGGGTAAGTTTTACCCAAATAAATTAAGATAACTTTACCATAGGGCTTAATATTTATTGTAAAAAGAACACCATAAATTTGATAAATAGAAAAAAGATACTCGTTAACCAACTTTTCCCCTTTTATTTACCGTAATGAATGGATTTATACTATATGAATTCACACCCCATCTTATATTGGTATGGCATTTATGCCACTTGTGACCCCGGGTCCTACTTGATAACCACACTCCCATAAAATGAGAGGCCAGGGTTATACACTACCCTATTATTTTCACATGCTAGTATAATCCTTATTATATAATAATAATAATAATAATAATAATAATAATAATAATAATAATAATAATAATAATAATAATAATAATAATAATAANAAAAAAAAAAGAAGCCCTCAAATGGTGCAACTTGTAGCGTATTAGCCCAAATCCAATCTCAAAAAATTGGAAAAAAAAAAGTTGGGATTGAGATGAGTTGAGGTAGGATTAGGGTTGTAAAATAGAACCTGGTGTTTAACTTCTGGTTGGGTTAGTCAGCCAATCCTAAGCCTAAGAAGCGAGAATGACATTCTTTTTTATAAACCAACACAAAGGAAGTAAAGGAGTAAGGCTAACTCAAGCTCGATTTGATGGATTAAGTTAGGGTTAGGGTGGAGAACAACTCGGGTTGGTTTTGGGTTGACTTCAATCTAACCCGATTTGCACCCATCATCCTCATGGAAGCTTCTATTCATTACTTTAATTCTTATAGGGAGGAAGACCTATCACAGGTTGCTGTTTTGTCTTTTATGTTCTGAAATCTGACCTTTACTTCCGCGTTGCTTTGTCTCATCAACTCATGGCTCTGGTTGTGTGTCAGTGTCTGTGATATATGTTTTACCGTGTACAAAAGGTACATCCGATTAATTGTCTTCTTGCCCTCTCAAGCATTTCCACCGGTGCAAAGAGTTGGATTTGCACGGCAAGTGAAAGGGAACCTATGTATTTGCATAAAATGTCAAAACCCCATGATTTGTCCTCCTGCCATTTTAGTTGCATCAATGGCTGTTGCTCCCTAATTACTAGCATTGCTCAAAAAAAGGGAAAAGTAAATGAGGGAAAAAGAAAGAGATGTGTTATGCAAAAACATTTC